ACTTTGCTCGGGACGCCGCCAGTCCACGCCCCCATGCCTGGCGCGCAGGCGCCGCATCTGCAGGACGTCCTGCACGACGCGTGCCCGCCTGTGCCCAGCTGCCTGCCGGCCCGCTGAACCGCTGCAGCCACGTTGCACAGTGCCGTTTAGCTCGCAGGTGCACTGGGACCGCATGTGGATCGCCGAAAAGTCCGTGGGGGAAAAAAAACCGCATAGCGGAATTCGGGGCATCGCAATGGGTGACGTTTTCAGGCGCGGTGTTTCCCGCACACTCGCCAAGGAGTGGACGCCAGCATTCGACCAAACCACACGCCCTTACCAATTCGTGCTGCCAGCGAGAGCCGGCACGGACGCCTAGCTGCACACATCTGCGCGGCCCCGACACAGTCGTGGTTTCCCTGGACGGCTGCAGCGCCTACGACCGTATGTCCCGTGAAGCCTTCCTGACGAGGCTGCGCCAGGTGGCCCCGGAGTCGCCATTCGTGCGCCTGGGGGCGCGGATGTCGGAAAAAAATTCCGACATTGCTCGAAAACACACATATGTTGCAGGTTTTTCAATTTTTCAACATAAAAACTAACCGTGTTTTTGTTTTGAACACATCCACAAAAAAAACTGACAATGTCATATTTTTTTTAGAAACCACCGACGACAAACAAACCAGTTTTCGAATTCGGTAGGTAGCTACAACTCCACACACCTAGGCGACCATGCTTTAGCATGCCCCAGGACGAGTCTAGTGGCCAAACGTGCCAAGATTGTCGAGCGGGCCTGGGTACGCGTCGCCCGCGAGGCCGTGGGCGCCGAAGGACAAGTGTGGCTCGCTCACACGACCGCCCCAGACGTCCCCTCGGACGACCGCAGGCGCCTCGACCTCGTTGTCTATGGTGCCACTGCCCACGGAGGCGCGCTCTGCTGCGATGCGAATCTGGTGTCCCCCCTTACACGATCTTACACGCACGGGTCACCCGCAGCCCTGCACCGTCGAGGTTGATGGGGCGATGTTGAAAGTCGCCGAGCGCCGCAAAAGGTCGGCATATCCTGAGCTTGCACGGGGTCCACAGAGACTGTTGGTCCTCGGCTCGGAGATAGGCGGGTGGTGGAATGAGGGGTCGCAGCGGTTTGCGCGCGACCTCGTCCGCCTACGGGCTCTCCGCGCACCCCCCGCAGTGAGGAGCGCGGCGGCCGCCGGCTGGGCGAGACGCTGGTGGGGCGCTCTTTCCGTCGCGATCCAGCACGCCGTCGCCAGTACTGCGCTTGGCCGCCCCCCGGCCAGCTGCACCACAGCAGGGGCCGAGACGGCTCTTCCTTGGACCGTGTCCTCGACCTTGCCACAAACGAAGGCGCCAGTCGCCTGCCGCTGCGGCCCTAAGCCGGGACCGTCGCTGGTTGTAGAGTCGACTCAACCATGCAGGCATAAAAGTCCGTGACAAAAAAAATCTGTGCACTCTTTGGAAAACCTCGCTTGACGTTTTTCCCGCTTCGAGTCGATTCTGGCTTGTGATCGCAAAATCTTTGTGCATGGAAAACGTGGCCGCCCCACAGCACGCCCTTCTGTTTTTTTAAGATCGGGGTTCTCATTTGGCCAGACACTTTAACTGCGATGGCGTGAACGCGCGGCGCCCAGCCAGCCCTGTGGCACTGGCCATGCAGCAGCTGTATGTGTATCAGGACATTGGTCAAGGCTGAGATGGCATGGAACAGTTGTGCGTGGGGGGCGGGGGGGGTGAGGAATCCATTTTTTTTTCTAGTTCTCAGGTTTATCATGTTTGATCCGAATAGCTTTCGACCCCCAGAGTAGGAAGCAAAACGCCGTATTGACATAGTTACTTAGTACACTGAGCACTGTGCAGAACTTGGCTGGCGACGGCATCCTGTTTGCACGCTTGGCTGAAGCGAAAGACCGTTTGCCGAGCTGCGCAGCTTTGGTGAACCATACAGGTGCCTGGTTGTGAATTCCAAGCGGGGGTGTGAGAGCCTAGGCTGATGTTTCCAATTGAGGCAACTAAAGCGCGCAAGCCATCGCCAGGTTTTTGATGTAAGTTGTCGATTTCGCAGCACCATCCGAGGCTTTTGCGTGGAATTGCCTTGGCTCCAGGCGTCCGCAGGGATTGTGGGTGGTCTTGGTGTCGTCGTATTCATCGGTGGCCGGGTGCCAATAGGATGATCTTCAGGGATCCGTGGAATCAAGCTACAACATGCAATTGCAATTTGCTGTGCATGTGCGGTTCATCACAAAAAGGCATCTGTACACTTCTGACTTCTGAACGACGATTCCTTTAATATACTACCGTAAACAGCAAACCTTGCCACGTGTCTGCACCGTGAATTGGCCCTAGGCGTGCGAGTTTTCGTCTTCGCGAGGATTCCTGGCAACCTCGGTCGAGGCCTTGCGCCGGCTTTCAGGGTTGCGCACGGGTTGTTTCATGGGTCTGTGCTCAATCGTTTTGATCGTTTTGGTTGCTTGTGGCTTTTCGCTTGGTGATCCGCAAGGTCGGAAGAGCTTCTAGGACCGGCCCTGCGAGCCACACTTGCGGTTTCACGTCAGCGGTAACGTGCACCTTCGTGTGAACAAACGTTACAGCATAAACTAAAGATATTGTCCGATTGAGAGGATGCAAAACAGAGATGAAATCATGGCTTGTTAAAACGTGAGTCCGGGCCTTGAGCACCTTCACCGTAAGTCACGATGCCAGTGACCAAACCCGAATGGCAAAGATCTACAAGTTCTTGGTCTCTGTTGAGTCCGAGTGGCGATAGTACAAATCTTATTCAAGGAAGCTCTCACAGTGGGGCGGCCTCCGCTTCAGCGTCTCGGTGCCGGAGCGGCAACGGCGACTTCGATGCCGCCGCCAACGCGGATGCAGCGTTTCTACGTGGGTGCATTTCTCAACTGTTGTTGATTCGTTTCTGTTTTCTAGTTTCAGTGTTTCAGCATTTAAATACAGGGCCAGGGCTCGGGCCTAGGGAATGATGTATTGTGCAGAGTTTGTGGGCTGCTTGATTTTGTATTATTGTGTATGGTAGCCTCTGACAAAAAGAATACTGCAAGCAAGCCGATGGGGACACCATATGTTTACGAACATGGCGCTAGGTTGCAGGCCTCAGTTCCGAGCCTCAAGCTTTCGCATGCTTAAAACTTGAAACCACCGCGGCAGTGGAAGTCGTTCGACTGAGCCACAGTTTCGCATTACGCTAGATCACAGTCCTTTTAGCCATGAGCCCAAGTCTGCGCACAAAGAAATCAAACTCAATGTCGGACCCCGAGCACTACTGGAAGAGGCGAGCCGGAGGCATGGATTCTGGTGCTGGAGCACCGGCTGACTTCCGGAATAGGCGTGCCTTGGGCTGCTTAGGGTTCTGAAAAACGTCAGGCGGTTCAGCAGTCACTGCCTAGCCATCACAGGAAGGGCTCACACGACTGTCTTCTCACACAAAGCCTCTGTCCTTGAAAGGTTGCAATGTTGTGCTAAGTTTGGACTTCTGATGCTGCAATCGAAGTTGTACAAGTGTGCATGCTGAAGTCGGTTGCAGCTATAAGCCTGCATCTTGCATACACCATGCTGAGCACACTGACATGAAAGTCACATCAACAGGGTCCCATTTCGGTTACCTTGAGTCTGGGACATGGGAGGTTCAGAATTTGAGCACCCTAGTGCTTCTTAGAAAAGGAAGCTGGCCCAAGGGTTTATGGCCCCTTTTCGTTCAGGTGTTTCCCCCACGTGCTGGAAGCCTTGTCTGGTCCGGAATCTTATGTGTGAAGGTTGGGAGGTTTCTGTGTTTCAGGGATTGCTGTGTGTGTGTGTGTGTGTTTATTTATGTGTTTTGCGAGGGCTTGGGCTTTAGGGTTCCGATTTCAGAGAAATCTTGGAGCTGGCACCCTGAAGCTCAACCTGCAATATCCACCTCTCGTGGATCCTCGGGCCCCGTCAAGCTCGAAGTCCCAGAAGGTGCTAAAACTTCAAGCTTCAAACCCCAAGCCCTAAACCCTAAACTGTGACTTTCAAGCATCTAAGTATCCTTCCAGAACACAGCCTGTAATTCCGGCTTCGGCCTAGAAGAGGAGCCCCTTTTGAGTCCCAAGATGATCCCATGTAAGGTTTGGAGCGGCCAGGACCTACCAGGCTGGAAAGTCTGAGAGGGAGAGGCGTGGCTTGAGGAGTTGACGGGTTTAGCATTGCGCGAGCGCGCGCTCGCGCGCGAGATTCAGGGCTGGACGCTCCCTGGGCCTCCCACCCTGTAGAGAAAGAGAGAGGCGCAGGTCCACCAGTCGGCCCCAACCCTGCCAGAGGGAAAGAAAAGGCCTTTGTGCTTCAAGGCTGAGGTTGGGGCATGTCGGGGCTTTGGTGTAGGGTTGCTGTATTAGCGTTCGACGGTTAGGGAGTGTTTGCGTCTTGAGGGCAATGCAATGGGGTGCTTGGGGATTTTCAGGTTTAAGGTTGAAGGCTTTAGGTTGTGTAGAGTGTGCCCTTTAAGGTTTAGGGGGTTTATGTTTACTGTCTAGGTTCAGTGAAGCCCTAGACTGATTTTTGCGGCTGTTTGGCGTAGTGCCTAAGGGTGTTCAGGATTCGGGCTTAACAAGTCAAGGTCCTTTACGATTGAAGCCGCACGTTTGAAGACGTAATAATTTCGTCTTGTAGGTATTGTCAGGGTATTGTACTTGTAAGATGTCACTCGTACAAGGTTTACGATTTACACTTGAGGTCTTGCAGAGTGCAAGGTTGGAGGCCTGCAGCTCTTCAAGACTAGTCGTGCATCTCAGGGCGAAAGGTGAAAACATTGTGAGCTATTCAGGATAGATGGCTCGGGGCCTTAGAGTTTGAACTTAGGGCTTAGGGCTGGAAGGTTTTGGTCTAAGATTGCGTTTGACGTCCGAGGGCGGTTTAGGGGTTCAGTGTTGGGGGCATTCAGGAGAATGGTTTGGGCGTTTGTGTGCTTTTGGCTTGGGGTTGAACGACTAGGTTTTAGGGTTTAAGGCCTGAAAAGGTGTTTTCGATTCAAAGCCTGTAGTGTGTAAGGGTTGGGGTTTCGGGTTACAGGCCTTTGGTCCTAAGCTCCAAGCCCACACCTTCTCAAACTAAGCCCCTTAACCCAAAACCGCACACTTCTCAATCCCAAAAGCAGGCTTCTTGCGGGAGGTGCAGCTGCCAGGGACCTACAGCTCTCCGATCGAGCAACTCTGACCGTTTGTGGGTCCGTGCAGACTGTTGCTTGGTTTCTTCACGTCAAGAATATCTGGAAGGTCGCCCCGCAGAGCTGCGTGTCCCAACGGTGCTGTGTTCTTTTTCAGATTGCTTGCTTCGGTATACCAAAAACCAAGTTTGGAGTCAGTGCTGAAATGTGTTCAGCTTGCTGCGGCACCTCCAGCGTCATCCGAGGTATGCAGCGCAAGGCGCTGCCGTGCGCCCTGCTGTCACCTTCGGCTTGCCTGCATCCTCTAAAGGCGCTGCCGTGCGCCCTGCTGCCACCTTTGGCTTGTCTGCATCCTCTGATCGACGGCTCCAGGTTGGGTGGCCTTTGTGCATAGTGGGCTTAGGAGTTTTTCTTGCTGCGGGGTCCGAGCTTAAGTGTCCACAGGGCAGTGTAGGGATTGGTGCAAGGCGCAGATCTGGGCAGGCTTTTGGCTTCGCGCAGGCTTCGCGTCCAGTGGGTCGTTCAAGAGCGATGCGGTACGGTGTTTCGGAGCCCTCAGCCCTCAACCGCGCGACCGGTAGACCCGAAACTATGAAACCTTGGATTCAAGAACTGATTAAAAGGCATTAACCTTTTAGGTTTGAGGGCTGCCTAGGCTTACTTGGGTCACTTTGTTCAATAGCCCAGGCTTTATCGGTCAAGGTTTGCATCGTTTGGCTCTGCAATCAATGTGCCCAACGAACATCAGTCAAAAACGAGCCTTCCAGATGTCCAGGCTCACAAGACAGAGCTTTATCGCTAGGCGAAATGTCGCAAAAACACCAGTCGACGCACTCTGCTACTGGCTTCTGTGGCCTACAGCGGATTGCTAAGCTTCCATGACCTGACAGTGTTCTGTCTTGAGGGGCTGCTTTTCTGCACTTGCATGGGTACAGGCCTTGCCGAAGCCCGAAAATGCCGGGGAAACCCTGCGTGGAGAGGTTCGCATCGGAGACCTCCTGGCCGCGGCAGGTGTGCACTTGGACCAGGACGGAGGGCTCGGGATGATTTGGAGAAGGCAGATTTCGGGAACAGTAGAGACTGACTGCGCAAAGCCTCACAAGTTCTTACCTGCACACGACGCCTGACAGCCTGAACGCTGGAGATCTAATGATTACCCTACAGCCTCGGACCGTCTTCAGCCCAGCGTGTTCAAGGCACAAGAGCAGTTTCGCAGAAACAGTGGGTGGTTGACGCCATGCCTAACCTTGCCAGGCCCTGGGTTGCTTTGGCTTCCCCCATGCCGCCAGTCCTCCAGGAATGCACACGTTGTCCAGAGTTCAACATCACCGGCGAGAAGGTGCCTCTGGCCTCGGGATTCAGTCAGAGTTTTGGGAGGCTCAAAGCTACACGCCTACACTGAAACAATGCGCGGGTGTGTGCGCGTGTGTGCACATGTGCGCGGGTGTGGCTCTGTGTGTGTGTGTGAACTTCCCTAGCACATGCACGGGAACAGAGGGTCAGCACACGGGAACAGAGGGTCACTCTTTCGTTTTGCAAAGATTGGTTCAATTGTTTTGCAAGCATTTTTTACATTTGCAGTTAAAAAGCAGCCCAGCAGCCGGGAGGACATGTGCATCGGTCGCCAGCCCGACGAAGAGGGCCTTTGCACATGCTGATATTCTCGGGAGACGTCCTGGGAAAGTACTTGCGCGGCAGCCCCGTGTGGTGCCAAGATTAGAAAAGGGCAGGCCCCCTGTGGTGTCCAGATTAGATTTGCAACAGTTGTTCCATGTACATTACAAGACAGTATGCAACACCCTGCCCGTCCTTACGACTTCTTCCCTTGCCACACCGAACACCAAAAAGCCAACCTACGTATTTCTACTCATGCATGCTACATTCATCACCAAAGACCTACGGCGATTCCTCAGGGAATGCATTGCACAACACAAGTCAACAATGCTACTTTTACACATCCCCATCACACAGCCGGTATGCAAGAAACACCCACCACTACAACGAATTTTGCACAACTGGAGAGCAGCACATGCATCGTGGATTCCAGATGAGCCACCGGCTTGCACTTGTCTCTAACTATTCAAGAAAGGCCACACCAAAACACATCTGCCAGCAACACGTGGCCATAGGATTAGCGCAGCTGCAGCCCGACCAGCAGTTCCTCGCACACTCCGGCAAGAGCAATAACACGCTACCAAAAGACTTCCACCTTGCAGCAAAACTCACCAAGTCACTACATGCTTGGCACCGCCACCACAACATTCCCACCAACAAACAGGAGACTAAGCAGTTCGTATCCGACCAAATTCAACAACACCGTCGACACAGCAAACAGCATCTCAAAATCCATAGCGTAAAACTAGTACAACAGAAACGACGAGAGGGCGTTATCCATTGTGATGATCATTTCCCCAACAGGCTGATGTGGTACTGCTCTACGCTTTCGCACCAGGCCATTACCCACACTTTCTCAGATCCGGATGTCTTCGCGATCTCACCATCACCACCACTTGCACCCACTTTGATGTTTACTCAAACATCACGGAATTACTTCCAACGTACCGTTGGGCATTTAAAGACTGGGGTCGAATTGCACAGGCCTACGTACTTCCAAAAGCCAAAACGAAGTACAGCAAGGGCGGACCCACAGTCGCATTTCTCAACACAATGGGACGAACTTTGTGGGAAGCTTCGGCCGATGTTCTATAACTGATGTCTAACCAAGCATGCGCACACACGTTCCACCAAGGGGATGCTACTACAATTCATACAAACTGCACAGTTCTTGCAGAATCAGTACAAAGAAAGCGATGACACCCCATACATCCTGTACAATCACGATTTAGCCGGCTTCTTCACATCTGTCGACGAGGACAGATTCCTCGCAGCCGACCACCTCATGGCGAGTGGGCACCAAAACAAAAACTGGACACATGCCCCTACATTCAACATTGATCATACACAAAAGGATCCGAAGCACAGAGTACACCAAGGCAAGGGCAGACAAAACAACATGAAGATGCCACCGGCCATAAACACAGCATCCACATCAAAGGCATCCCCAACATGATCACGTCCGTCCTGATGTTGAATTACTTCACAGTGGGCAGCACGCTTTTCAAGCCTCTCAGGGGAGCACCCATGAGCTCGCCATGCAGCCCTGCCCTATGCAGCCTCGTATCAGTCGAGGAGCAGTGTTGGCATCACACTTACGGCCAATTGTTGTGCAACTCCAAGCCCTTCCCACAGCAATCGCACGTTACAGCAAGCAGTATATTTCGCCACCAGATACCTTGACAACAGAGTTTTACCTTTGCCCAAGCAGCTCACACAACTACCCCCCCATTTCGTCAACTCACCAATGCAGGATTCTACAAGCCGTCGGTACAGCTTGAAATTGAACCTCCCAACATTTTGCTGGGATTCGCACTGGACCCCCAAAGCTGCAGTTTAACTAACCGCAACAACATCACCACTGCTGACAGCTTACAACCACAGTCAGCCACGACCACACAAGTTCTACGCGGCAGCTACCAAGCACGCAGCAGACTCGTACAACGAGTCTGTTCACTTCGTAGTCATGTACATGAAGCGATTCGAGCCGTACTGCACATCTACGCTGCCGCCGGCTACACTGACGAAGCTGCGTTTGCTGAAAAGCAACCAAATGCGGCTCTGCATTTCGCATGAATCTGTGGCCGACATATGCGCCACCACACCCATGACCGCCATTGAACTGGTACAGTCGTGTTTTGGCTCTATCACAAAATAGGTCAAACATCATGAAGCGCAATGCTACGTCAGCAGATCTGGCACCAAGCCAGAGACGGCGTGCAGAGCAGCACAGCGCTTGGATCACATGTAGTCAGTGTGGATTGAGAATATCCCAAAACCGGGGATTCGGGCACTGCAAATCGTAACCTTTTCAACGACCACACCTTCCATATCCACCGCTGCGAGTTTCTACTTAAGCAACATGAACAACGTCTGCCTTATTGGTGGAAAGTGAACAGCATCCCAAGCAACACTAGATGGACATTTCACTGGTTCTACAACAACTAGACGGTCTGACTAGACGTGAGTTGCGACGTCACAAACAAGCATGCGCTGCAATGCTTTCAGCAAACTCATCACTGATCTCAGCCTTCATGAGCCTCAACCGCTGTTGTTATCCGCAGCCGTTTCATAGCGTGCAGCAGTGTTTGCTACAGCATCATCCGACCACGTACCGTCATCCAGTCGGAGGGAAACAGCAGACGCATCAAAAGTCTCGGCGTCGGCAAAGAACGGCAAAGAACACCACAGCAGGAACGCAAAGGCATCAAGGAGCCCGTCGACATACCGGCACGGTCGTGCTCACCCATGCAAGAAAGAGCACACGCTTCTCAGCCACCTCCAGTACATCGACAAGTGATGCGCATCGCTACCCAAGTATTCGAGATGGCCGATGAGGGCTCCGCAACTTATGTGAGGGACCCGAAGAACCAAGTCCCAGCTCCTACAACGCCACCCGGTCCGCCGCCACCACAGCAGCCGGAAGAAGATGAAGATGAATTTGAGCATGATGAACCGTCCAAGCTCGACAACATCAACTCCATGCAGCACGACATCGCGCAGACGGTTCCCAAAGTCGAGACCTTGGCCGGCTGCAAGCAGCAACTTGATGCTATGGAGGTTTTGCTACGGCAGAATGCCACAGGCTGGACCAAAATTGGCCACTCATACCAGGACCAGACGGCCAGCAAGCAGTATGACCGGTGAAAACACTTGCATTCTTCCGGTGTCACATGCACATGGCGTGTACAACTGTCACAGCACGTTTTCCAGCTCCTTTGGCCCAAAACGCGAATAGCTACCACAGCCAGTGTATCGCTATGAACATGGAGCCTTCAGCAGCAGACCGACGTGATCTTCTCGCCAATGAGCTCCTACAGATATCTGCAGAATTTGCAGGAGGAGAACACTGAGCCCGCACCTTCGAATTCTTACTCAAACTCGTCCATACTCAGTGGTCAGATGTTCAGAGCTCAAGTCGCCGATTTCATCGAGTTGACCACCCAGGAGCTTACCTCATTAAAGCAAAAGGTCGATGGACTGGAGGCCGAACTTCAGGCAGCGTCCCAAGCACTACGGGACAGTTAACACATCATACATGACATCTTGGCGATGCTAGAAAAGCACCGCATTTGCAATCATGCCAAAGATCCAGCTTTGCACAATTGATCGTGCCATTGTCCTTCGATACATGTGCTTTGAAGCAGCGACCTTGTTGATCACATCCACAGCCGTCTCTCATTTGGAGTACATTCAACCAACATGCCTGAAACAAGTCGAAGCCCGGTCCCACATTCCTGGGAGTGGACTTGGAAAACCGACAGCAAAGGCGCATGGTGGTGGGAATGGTTCAAGGTATCTCGCCAATGGATCCAGGACAAGGTGAAACAAGACGGTCGCCACAATGATCATCGTCGTGATAAGGCCGACCCACCAACACCGTCACGCAAGCGAACAAGATCTCCATAACCGTGAGACGGACCCCACAAGGGACATGCATAATTCAATTTGCCTGTTGACCGTTTGAGGGAATAGGTCGCCTTTTAAAGTTGATAACAGCGGTAAACCACTGCCACTTGCAGCGTGCAGACAGCGCGAACATTCGTCAGTTACACACAGTTGACCATTTATGATGCATGCTGACCCATCATTCTCCCGGAGCCATTATCAATCAACATCCTTTGGCATTCTCCAACCAACTCGTGGCACTCAGCATTTGACCCTCCAGCTTCGACTAGGTCACCAACGAAAAAACGCCGACGTGAACAACCAAGAAGAAGGCGCAAGAAGCAGAGGTCCAAAACAAAATGAGCCTTTAAGAAGCTAAAGAAGCACAGCAAGTCGTTCCAGCTCATGAAGAACAAGAACAAGTCCGCCCGCCCCATCACCCAGATCTTCCTCATCATTGGGCGATGACTACATCTTCGCCACAACGATTCTGCGTGAAAGCACTGGAACGAGACCCAAAACACGCACAACAGCATGTGCAAAGATGATAAAGATGCTTGTCCGAGCAGGGTGGCGCTGCCCATGCCATTTCATCCATGTTTCACAATGTCCTACCAGACTATTTTGCACCATGATGATGTCCTTCGAGGTGCCTGTGTGTGTGAACTTCCCTAGCACATGGGAAGCACCTCCAGATTAGTTTTGCAACAGTTGTCCCATGTACAATACAGTCTGCAACACCACTTTGCTCGTCCTGACTTCGAAATCCATCAGTGTGTGTGTGTGTGTCTGTGTGTGGGTGTGTGTGTGTGTGTGTGTGGGTGTGTGTGGGTGCTGGTGGGGGTGTGGGTGTCGGTTTGGGTGTGGGTTTGTGTGTGTGTGTGTTGTGTGTGTGCGTGTGTGTGCATATGTGTGGATGCAGGTGCTGGTGTGGGTGTGTGGTGAAATAGGCGTTTTCGGGAAACCAGTTTGGGGACCCTCGGAAAAGTCCACATGACCGGAAGCAAAATGGACGCAGTGGAAGCCATTCCCCGCCGTCACGACGCCTCTTCTGAGAATGACAGGCCTGGCGTTTTGTGTGCTTTTGTTTGATGTCTTTGGCGTAGGACATCAGATTATGCTATGTTCGCTTCTGAGATTATGGCCACCTCATGGGCGATGGTCTAATTATGCCTTGAGGCAATGCTGCGGAACGTGGGGGTCGAGCTAGAGATCACCCTCTTCTATACAAACCTTTGGCTTTCGTGGCAGCCTGGCGTGGATTTTCGGTGTATATAGACGAAGTCAGCGGGTTTTGATTAGGATTTGACGGGTGGGCCGTAGGCGTCAGGGCTTAACGAGGGTCCATCCGTGCAGGCTGGTTGTATCCATTCTTTGTCATTACTCTCAAAAATCATCACCAACCCTAGCTAACCTTGATCCGAAAGGCTTTTGCCGGCTGTATATGTATGGCCCGGCACTGTTGGTCAGATGGGGTTGAGGTTCAGGTTTTCGGACTGGAACCGATTTGGGACCACATGCCCTGAGGCAGGACCCCACTACATGGCTACTTCCAGCCAAGGAGCGGGCAGTGACAGTGAGGGCTTGTGCTGTTGTTTTTCAAGGTTTAGAGGCAATCCGCTAATAGTGAACACGGCCGGTTAAGTGTGTCCAGGCGAGACTACGGAACCCTGCTGCAAAAAAGGGGTTGGATTGCCGGCTGCCGAGTCGAATTCTATGCACGGGAACCTACCGCTGGATTAGGAGTCCGGTTCAAACACGAGTTCGTGGGGTGCAGCCAGTACATTGTTTTTAGCCGCGCCGGCTCCTATGGTGTCTTGATTGTGCCCTGGCGAAAGACTTTGAAGGCGGCCCGCCTTGAGCCACCGACCTCGGTCCGAAACATAATCATACCAAGCCGACTGAAGCCCCAAGATTCCATCCTTCCGAACTAGGCTGAACGCTCTAAACGATTGTACACCATGAAAGCCTTCCGTCCCGGGTGGGGTGCTGCTGGGGCCGGGATCTTACACAAGCCCTACGCCCTCCAACGTAACGCGTGCTCATGTTTTTATTAACCTTAAACCCCGCCTAAATGCAGGCTCTAAGCCCAAAGCAGACCAGAAGCCGTCAACCCTAACCAACCTACACCCCAAAACCCTCCCTGAACACTTGTCGACTCGAAGCCTTATACCTTTGAACCTTAAACCCTAAACCTGTGCCGGTCCTGCAGTTGGTGCTTTTCGTTGGGGATGCCCGGTCATGTTTCACGCCGACTTCGCACCGTGAACCTCGCCTGGCTTGTCCGAGTTGTGAGAGCGTAAACCTTAAACCTGTGACAGTGTAAACCCAAAACTCAAAAACATAAGCTCGATCCAAAACCCCAAAAACCCACAACCACTGTGGGACCCGACCCCTTGCCCCATGGCGCGGCGGGGGCAACCCGGGCCATGCGGGGGGCACGGTTGAGTGAAGGGGGGGGAGGGGTCGGGCAGATATAATAGATATACATATAGATTATAGATATAGATAGGTATAAGTGATATAAGTATATATATATATGTACACATATCATATATATGTACACATATCACACACACACATATATATATATATGTATATATATATACATATACATATACACATTCATGTGCTTACACTTAAACTTACACTCGCACGCTTGCACTTGCGCAGCCAGAAAAACCCAGAGAAGAGGAACACCATCAGAGTCCGAGAAGGAACCCAGCTTCGAGCTGAAGGTTGCGGCCCGGCAGCCCATCGAAGGCCGCACGGTGTCTAACTACATTTTGAGGGTAGGGGTCTTAGGTTGGGGTTGAGCCTGGTTTCGAATTCGGGTTATTAGCATCAAGTTGTAGGCCCGGACTCTTGTGGCGTTTTTGCTTCAAAGTTTTTTTCAAATGCTTATGTGTGGGGAGCATCTGAAACAGCCCAAAAGAGGCGTGCGAACTCTCCGATCCATCCCAGCAGCCCAGTCCTACTTCGATTTGGAGGCCAGTGTTGCTCTTGAGGGCCGCCTGCCGACACATCTGCAGTTACGGAAGCATAAACCGTTCCCTGAGTGGATCAACCTGAAACCGGAGTCCGGAGACCCAACAAGGACGCACAGAAGGAGTCCGCCCGCGTCACGCGGCGTAGTCATGGCATCTCGGCCTGGGTCCTGTTTGCGGACTTTCAAGGTATGGAGAGTTGGCGTTTGTGGCTGCTTAGGCGTTTAGGGGGTCTGTGTCACGATTTTGGGTGTAAAGTTCCGTTGAAATCAAATCCTCAAAACAGCGCCAGCTGTCAATCCACAAGACCCTCAGCCTGAAGCATAATCCCCATGCAGGCCTCATGTTCAAATTCCGGAAAGCTCGATAATGTTCTAGAGCCTAAATCGGAAAGCAAGCTTTCCCGTCGATCTGGCGGATGCGAGGTGAAGGGAGGAGTTTCGGCAAGAAGGCCCCCATTACAAGGGAAGCAGACATCTCAAGACATGTGGTAGATGTGGTTGCGCCAAACCCGGAACGGTAGCACTGGCAGCCCAAGGATGCCAGAAGTACGGTTTAGGTTTTCGGTTAGGGTTTGGGGTTGAGTATGATTTGTGTTTAGCTGGGGTTGGGGCGGTTAGGGTTCCAGGCATGTCACGAAAGCTAGCTCCTTGGAG